TTATATACTATACTACTACATGCAGATAGAAATACATCCAAGATATATATGGTCCTTTGGAAGTAGTAGGTATATTTGGCCTCTGTGGTCATGTACTATACTATTACATGCAGATATAAATACATCCAAGATATATATGGCCCTTTGGAAGCAGTAGGTATATTTGGTCTCTGTGGTCATGTACTATACTACTACATGCAGTTAGAAATACATTCAAGATATATATGGGCCTTTGGAAGTAGTAGGTATATTTGGTCTCTGTGGTCATGTACTATACTACTACATACAGATAGAAATACTTTCAAGATATATATGGCCGCTAAGAAAGTAGTCGCTGGAGCAACACGTCCTCGAGATAAAGTAGTTTTTGTCCCGAGGCCTTTTCCGGAGGGCCCTGCACATACACCCACCCACTGAAGCATGCACCTGGACTTTGTTATACAGGGCCTGGGTATCCAGTTCGATGGGGTCTTTTCGCCATACGAGCACAACCAACCGTTAGTAGGCGAGATGTCTGAGCTTTTGGGCGTCCCAGGCAATCCAGCCAAGGCCTACCGAATCGCCAGAGATAAGCACTTGACACGGGAAGCCCTCGCTGCCGCTGGGCTCAACACGCCTAAGTCGTGTGAGATCAATGATCTACAGGGTATGGCTTACAGGGATTGATTATATTGCATATATTTTGGTGTGTGTGTGTATGCATATATATATATATATTTATATGTATATATATATTGGTGGGTGGGCGTGGGTAGTTTTGGTATATATGTATATTTATATATATATATGTGTGTGTGTGTATGTGTGCTTCTATATATATATAAATATATGTGTGTGTGGGTGAGTGTATGTATATATATATATATGTGTGTGTTTGTGTGTATACCTGACTATATTCTAATAGAGTCGAACTACTTGAGGCACAAAATCCTGGCCGCCGCTTGTCTCGCTAGACCCAAGTCGTGTGTGATCAATGAACCACAGGGTACCCTTTTGAGGATGTATTATATTTTAAGGTGTGGCGTATATATATATATCTATATATATAATATACATACATATATATATATATATATATATATATATTATTATGGGTGTGTGAGAATGTCAGTATACAGTAATAAGTGTTTGTAGGTATCTCAGTGTACTGCTTGTTTCGTAGGATGTATGTTTCAGGCAGTCTCCGTCCACCCCCTTGCTCCTTACAGGCACGCCTATCCACTGCCGAGACATTTAGCTAGCCTCATTCAGCAACATCGAATCCCAGTAATTCAATATCCCGACACTCTACTGCCTCAAACCCTAAACCCTTTGAACCTCAGAGGTCCAAAACGCGGCGGACAAAGTAGGATTCCCCATGATTGTCAAACCCAAAGCCGGAGCAGCCTCTCTGGGAGTGTACCGAGCCGATAGTGTGCAAGAGTTAGCTACGCACGTGGCGTCTATACTGGAGACCCTCAGAACCACGGACGACCTCAGCTACAACCCCGGAGTCTTCGGAGCGCTGGTGATGTGTGAGCAGTTTATCCAGCCACACCCTGACATCCAGCACTACTCGGCTGAGGTATTCTGTGTTTGCATATGCCTGGTGACTATAGGGCGTGTATGTTCATATATATTGATTTGGCGTTTAGGGTTTAAGGTTTAGGGTTTCCTCGACAGAAGTATCCTGTGATTGCATATGCCCGGTGACTATAGAACGTGTATGTTCATATATATTGACCCGTACCCTCTACGACTCGTGCGTCATCCTGGCTCACGCCCACCTCTTGTCGTCTAACCCTCTGAGCTTGCGCAGACGCACATCTGCATCTCAAATACACGTCTAGATACCCGCATACATAACTTACATCACCTATGTCACACTCGCATCAGTACTCATGCTGCATTCTATGTAGGTGGACAATGATCTGCTGTACTGGAATGGCGAGTGTGTGTATGGATCGGTCACGGACAACTGGGCTAGCAAGCCCCCATACTTCCTGGAGACCTGCGAGCAGCACCCCTCCCTACTGCCAGCCAAGATGCAAGAGGAGATGCTTCAGGTACATACATGGTGGTGTATGCGCAGTCGTATATGTCTGAATGCCTGAGTAGGAATGAGTGTATGCATACATTAGGTGTGATCTATATATCTGTGGGTGTGTGTGTTTGTGAATTTCATTTTATGTTTTCATGTACAAAAATATATATAAATATACATAAATATATATATATATATGTGTGTGTGTGTGTATATGTGTATGTGTGTATGTATAAATATATATATATATATATATATATATATATATATATGTGTGTGTGTGTGTATCG